CCCCTGGGACACAGATCAGCCACTCAACAACATCGGTGGCTTCCCTTATTGACTTAACTGCCGCGTGTGCAGTGTCAGGATCGCATCAGTGGCCCTTTGGGCCTCCTGAGGATCATGCCACCTTTCTTCCACCATCTTCGGGAAGTCCTCCAATTTCTGGGAGGCCGCCAAAGTGCGGAAGTCATGACCATACCCCTGGAGCTGCACTAACCCACTCAACCATCTTGCTGCACTACCCTCTAGGTAGGAGGCAGCCACAAACACTTCTTCGTGCGGCGAGGTAAGTTTACACCTGCCATAGACCGACACTGCCCTCAACCATGTGTCGAGGTCTTCGCCCCTCTTATCCCCTGTGAAAGGTTTGGGCGCGGCGATGGCCGTCTTTGGGACCCACTGTGTTTGTCCCGGTCCCTGCATCACCACGGGCTGTGGACCCTGTGACACAGGTTGCTATTTCGGAATAGATATCAGGTCAACAGGTAAGTCAGATTCCTACGAACGAAACTATTTTTAGTCTGACTAGTCCGCAAACAGAAGCACCAGGAACAATAAACAGTTCTAACTAATGTTGTCTGTCAGATGTCAATGGCTGTACACCTAACTAATCAAAACATAAAAAACATAATGATTTGTGTGGATAGGATAGCATGGATTTTTCTTTAACTTATCACCTGGAATCAACCCCTCCCTTAGTTCCCTCGAGTATCTCTTGACGTCAGCGTCCCTGAGCGATCTGGAGAGCATCGCGTGTCTAAAGGTGTGTGTCTGGCCCACCCCTGTGCCCCGAGTATCCACAGAGCTGGCCAGCTGTGCACGTATATCTATCCTCGGCATGCCGCGAGCCTTACATCATTGGCTGATCCAGAGGCATTTTAACGTACGCCCCCAAGTGACATTAGGAATTATTTTACGTCGCAGCAGGACGACGATCACAACCAGTGATATCCCCTCCCCGTGTTTATTTATAGATGCCGGGTGCTCGTCTTTCCTGTAGGGCTGGCCTGCCCAGTAGTACCCATCTAACAGCGCAGCAAGCCGAACAAAGGACAAGCAGCAAGGCATGCGTGCTCTACTCCCTGTGGGTTGGCATGGTGACCGTGACCCAGCGCTTCGTCCAGGGCCCTTTACTAAGCTCCGCCCATCTCCACCCAGATGCTCCACGTGAACATTGCCGACTCTCAAGGTTGAGCGCACTCGTTACCTCATGATGAGAGGACTCTCAAGAAGGAACACACAACCTCACAGTAAGAAGTGTTGGAGAGGGAAGATAAGGTTAAGAGCAACGTACCTCAAATAGCTGCCCCGAACCACAAAGATAATCTCACCAGATGACCAGATGGCGATTGCGATGACCAGTCATTGCATCAGCACAACCAGCATTGAACGTCGTTCCACCTCAGCATCAATCGCACATTAGATAGTTCTCATCACACTGTCCAGACCACATACACCTCACGTAGCCTTCTTGGCGATCCCCTCGCCTCCTGGGTCGCCACGACACTTGTCTCCACCCTCCTCGCTACACACCACTTACGGCCAAACTCGCCCAGCAGACCGCATGTATGTAACGCATAAGGCAGAAGACGAGCGCCAGATGAGTGCAATCGTACCACAGTTGTGATACCAAGTTGCGAGGAAGATGAGCAATAGCGAACTTCAGCAATCAAACAGCATCATACATACGAGTCCAGATAGTGTTGACCTCAAACCAACAGCAGAATTGCATCACGAGATTCACCAAATAAAAACACACCAAGAGTTCATAATTGACAATGCTGAAATAGTCCCATCATCATCAACGAAGAACCAGAGTTGATATCCTATCTGGCGCTCGGGGCCCAGACTACATGTGGCAGATCCTATCTAGCCTATACTACGAAGCCGAAAGATGACATCAACAGCATTCCTGAAGTACGAGCATATGGCGACCAATGTGGCATGCTTCCAGCACCAGGTATGTCTCGCGCTACACTCACAACCTCGTTCCCCAACTCGCAGATGCCACTAGCACCCAAGGACCACCCTGCGCCTCACCCAGCTTACAACAGCGCAGCTCGGCTATGGCTGCGTGCTCCTTCCCTGCTCGCCCGTGAGAGYGTAGGCGCCAGCCAGCAAATAGCGCAGCAGCGCTTGCGCAGCATGCAGCCAGCACCCGAATACCGAATGAGGAGGCAGGCCCTTTCCTATATCGAAGTGGCCTGCCTGCGTCCAGTCCCAGGA